CTTTTCTTACCCTTAACTTAAAGTCCCCATCTTTTTGTTCTTAAACATTTTTGACTCTACTAAATTAAATTTTACACTTTTATATTATATAAACCTATTCTTATCTGATACATAAAATTAAGCAACTGGATTTAATATTTCTTCAATTTTCAATATTTAGAAAGTAATTAGTATGTTTAAGATTTTTTTTTCTTTATTTCGTGTAGTGATCATATAATGTTCATTAAACTTCATGCAAAAATATAATTTCAATAAAAGACATCATCATTTGTAAAATGGTTGGAAACTACAGTCATAGTGGTCTTTGGTTGCTTTTTGTGCTCCTTTTTTTCCTCTTGATGCTATGTCATTTGTGGATGTAAACTATTTGTACCGTTGTTTGCTTCTCTTGACTGTTCTGTAGTTGTTCTATGTGTCTAGTTGTTACAGTTAATGAATGTGTGGTCCAGTGTTTCAAATGAACATAGTTTTCTAGTTTGTTGTTTCTCTCCTTTGTACATATACTGCCAGGTATTCAAAGCAAGGATCAAACATTTCAGAATCTTATAGCAAGATGTATGTCTAAAACTTTAGTAAAAATAAATATTATTGTTGTGCAATCTTCAGGCTCTTAACTAATAGGTTTATTTCTATATTTTAAAACTTTGTAAACTTTAAAACTGTCCTAAAATATATGTACTTGTTGGAACATTACTATTTAACAGACTCTTATAATCGTTTAATGCAAATTGTTTTTCGTTAAACTGGTTATAAAACTTTTGCCAATTTTTTTTTTTTTTTAATATTTTGTTAATCAAAATACTTTTCAGTCTTTACTATCAAAATTAGACATAAAATATAGTTATACTTAGTATTTGTAAAAGGTTGATTTCACATGATTTCTCTGACTCATATAAATTTTAAAAAGAATTTATTTAATGAGGGATATAATAAAAAGTTATCACTTTTCAGTCACGATATAAGTTTGCACATTAAGCATACTACAAAGCTTAAACTTCTTAATTGACACCACTTATACTCTAACCTAGTCATAAGTAAAATAAAATTCCTTTTGACTAATCTGATGTAAGCCTAACAAGCAAAAAAAAAAAGAAGAAACTAATGGCATATTAGGCTGTTTATTGATACCATTTATCTATGGCTAAAAGTATGTTTTCATATAGTGGGCTTGGGAAAAGATGAAAAGGCTCTCCAACTGCAATGACCACTTCATTTTCTTGCATAATTCTGTGCTGTTCTTGTAAGACTAAATGAATGTTTCTCTTTATCATGCTACTCTCAGCTGCAGTTATTTTTGCCTCTTTATACCTCATTTCTACAATCCTTACAGATGGTTATGGAACAATAATCTTACTGTCATTAGATTGAAACAATCAACAAAGCTGACCCAGAAACAGTATTATGTTTAGCCTTCCTTTAATTTCACTCTTGGATACATGTGTCAACTGTTTCTACCATCTTACACACACACACACAGCTTTTTCTTTTACAAAGATCTCTTGTTAACATGCTGATTTGTTCAGACTGATCTCTTATTTTCAAATAATATTTCTTTTAGCTAAGATTAGATTTTCTTTGAGAGAAATTAATACAATATAGATTACAATAGAAGTTATTTCAACATTAAAAAATAGTGAGGAGAGTAACTATGCACAGATTAAATAATAATTTGTAAGGCAATCTTGATGGCATATGAATATGAAAAACAATCCCTGATTTAATATTTGTTCCACTCTTTTAATTCCATGTTATCAGTTTCTAAGAACATTATTATGAAAATAAGTCATTGAGCTCTGTAAAGCCATATAATTATATCAATTGATTGTATTATTTGTTTAGACCTCTTTCTTATATGTATGTGTGTGCATATAAATGTAGACAAACACACATTATTGCATTGTATGTGGCAACTTATTTATTTCAAAAATAGAAAAAAAAACTTGTGTTTGCACTGTCACATGGATATGATTGTAGAACATAATTATATTTAAAAAAAAAACAAAAGAAGATAATGTTAGTCATATGTGACAACTTATTTATTAGGTTGGTCAGAAAGTCCTGACTAACTTAGGAAGTGGAAAGAAAACACAAAATTTTATGAAGTAAACCAACATTTATTCTTCAAAATAAAGTCCATCGTTCTCGACAATCTTCTGCCAGAGGTCAGCCAGCATCCGAATTTGTCCCAGATACCAGTCCACTGGCTTTGAATCAAAAAACTGTAAACAAGCTTCCTTCACTTCATCAAGAGTGTTGAATTGCTGGCCATGGAGGAAGTGTGCAATTGAGTGGTATCGGCTCAATCACACTCAGAGCAGCATTGGGACTGAATGGTGGAAGTGGAAGAATTTGAACACCATCCATCTGTCATTAGTCAACCTGGCAGTGTGTGGCCTCACATTGTTTTGCTGAAACAAAGCCCAACCTTGATTGACCAAAGTAGTTAGTTAGTCATACATGCAGCTGGTGGCAAATTGATGGTACGACCGTGTAGAATAAGCTCAAAATGCAGTACTCCTTGGAAATTCCACCAGAGAGAGTTCAAGATTTGTTGTTTTCTTTCCATTTCCTAAGTGATTCAGGATTTTCTTGTCAACGTAGTATTTAAAAAATAGAAATAATAAACACTTGTTTTTGCATTGTCACATGGATATAATAATAGGACATAATTATATTTTAAAAGAACAAAATAAGATAATGTTAGTCTGAACAAAATACAAAATTACTGTACATCCTCCCTACACACACACCATTTTCCAAATTTCTTCTTTTATGAAATAAGAACAGAATATTTTATGCCTTTCACTTTATTGACTCTGTTTCATTTCTCTTTCTATACTCTTGGACAATTTCTTGTATTTCAAAGATTTAACAATTACAGATTTACCTAATGATAAAATTCATATAATCTCTGTTGCTTCTTACGAATTTTGAGTCCAATATACACACAACACAATACAACACACATTTTACATTTGTTGTATTGCTGTTGTTGTTTTTTTTTTTGTTTCTTTCTTTCCCACAGACTGAGCTGAGCTGGTGCCGTTTCATGGCATGTGTCTATTGCTCGAAGGAAACTTGCTTAGCATTTTACAGGTTCCAGATTCTGTAAATATGCAATATGAATATCTGCCTCTGTTTCTCTTTATTATATCTACTACTGTCTTCTTGTTATTATATCTACTGCTGTCGTCTTGTTTTGCCACTGGAATTTTGGACAATGTTTGAATGTTAAACTGTGAAAAGGCAATTTTATAATCTTTTTAATCACATTCTTAAGCCTTTTTCAATGAAACAAAAAAAAACTGCAAGTGTCAAATTGACACATGTTGTAAAAACAAGATATAATAAATAATGCTGGAAAATTTTATGCAGGCATTTAATATGGTGCAACATGAACAGACCACAAGAGTATTTTCATATTAATGCCTGCCTATTTTGTTCACTTAGTTTTTATTGTTACTTTTAAATTAAGCCTGTAGGGTTATTTGATATGTGTATACTGTGACATAGATTCTAAGAAGGTTCTTTAAAATATAATGCTTAACGAAAATGTGCCCTTTCACATTACATTGAAGCATTTGATCTCACCTTCTACTTTCCAGGCGAATCTACCTGAACCCCCCAACATTTATAAAGGATTTGATGGGTGAACAATTCAAATTCCTCTTCAGTCTACTTTTCTTCTTTTGCTGTTTGTTTGTATACAAACATTTTTTAATGAACATTATCATCAATTCAAATCTTTTTTTTTCACTCCTTTTCCAATCTTCTGTCTTCTTCCTTTTACTTCTGTTTTTGTTGTCCATGTGACAGTTTAAATTGATGACCTTTCTTTTATTATTTGAATTTGATGTTTTTCTTCTGCCTTATGTGAGCTAAATCTGCTGTATGCCTGATTCTTTTCAGGTTTGAGAAGCAAAAACAAATGCATGTGTGGCAAGCATTTCACTCCCACTGCAGAAACAGCAGCAGGAGCAGTGGTACTAGATGCAGGGAGGGGACAAATTATGTGAAACAAGCATAAAAATTATATTAAAAAAAAAATTGATGATAAATTGTCTTCCAACCAACTCTTGTCTTAGTCCTTGAAAATAACATGAGCTAAACTACACTTTTATAAAAATGAAAATTTGGTTAAATTTAATATAACTAAATTTAGCCACATTTCTTTTACCTCTCTTTCAGTTCTGAAGCTAATATTTTTTATGCATTATATAAATTTTTTTTTTCTTAGTTTTTATTGACTAAAAAGCATTTTAGACCTGATCATGTTGGTTTTCAATTGTTTTCGTTAACACACTGTGTTTTCCTTTTTGGACTCTGAAACATTGGGGGAAACAAATGCAACCAACACAAAATTTTCTAATTTTAGTATATTTTATGATCTATCACATTTTTTATTGTATTCAAATTCTATATTCTTTTTACTATTCAACTAAAATTTGCTAACAATAATTTTTCTGGTCACAGAACTAATTATTTACCAATCTGTGTATCTTTATTGTACTTGATTCAAAGTTAATAAACCTCTCATTTCTTAACTTTTGTGTATGACACAAAAGATTGTCTATCATTTCATAATTTCATTTTTTTTTTTCTAGATGCTAACATTATATATACATAATAATAAAAAAATATAAAGTATAATTCATTTAATCAAAGATTGTTATATTAGGGAGATTTTTTGTTAATTTTTTTAATTTTAAATTTCATATCTTTAATGCTTTTTATTAGCTTTCAGATGGATAACGAGGTGTAGTGAAAATAATCAGATCAGGTTATTTTAATATCTCAAGATAAAAAAATAAATATAATTAAAAACCTTATTCATGTTATAAATGTTTATTATTATTATTATTAACTTTTTCTTTACATAAACTTGTCAGTACTGAAGCCAAACCATGGCTTAAAAAGAATTCCCCCACCACCTTCAAAGAAACCCATATTACCCTCAACATTTACAATCCAATATCTCAAGCATCTTTTATTGTTTTCAGCACGCCCAAACTTTTTGAACTTGCGCAGTAACACCCAGGGTAACACTGCTAAGCGTATGTTTAAACTTCTCTCTCCTTCCTTCTCACCCTGCTAGTTCACACTATGATTGATATATAGACACATACACACAAATGCTGCATGCCTTAGCTGTCATCATTATTTGTTTAATGTTTATGTTACTTTTTTTTCATGTGTGTGTGTGTGTGTGTGTGTGTTTTTTTTTTTTTTTTTTTTTAATAATAATTTTCACTTCATTCATTCTAATATTTTTCATGCATGGCATAAATTCTACTTTCCAGCATGTTTATTTTTACCACCTCCTTCTCGTATATTTTTTTGTTTCTCTTATATAGATATTTAATTTTAATCTCAGTTTGTCTCTACTTTCTGATATATAAGATAGAATCATCCAAGGTTAAACAACAGGATCAAGACTGAAACCTAATCAACTTCTTTTGACCATTAAATATGACATGGACTAGACATCCATATATCCATACCATTTGGGTACAAATATAAAATACAAATCTATATGGATTATCTCTTAAGAATCAGTTTCAAGACTTGAAAAGCTGCTGCTCTCCTGTTTGAAATGAGTTTTGTATCAAAATTGATTTTTTATGACAAAAGTTAATACTCTATATAATGGTTTATACCATTATTATTGTTTACATTGGCAGACAATAAATTTGAACAGTGATTGTAGCGGAATTTCTTACCAAAGTTTTATTGACATTCACTACGCTTAGTTTATTAAAGCACAAAGTGAGGAAGATTATATTACACTAATACACCAAGTGGGGATAATCTGCTTATTTTGATAATTGGCAATTTAAATCATGGCTTTTACCCAATTGCCACTTTAAAATATGCAACTAACTTTACCAGGCTATTAAAACTTTGTTCTTGGCAAAACAATTTAAGCTATATGATACCATCTCCAGTAAAAAAAAAATTATTCAGTTTAATTTTTCTGTATGAGCATTTGTTTGTTTTACTTAGAAAACATTTAGAAGTTAATGAATCTGAATACACATTTAGTGGAACCAAGAATAAGGGAGAAAAATTAATCAATTTATACTTGCAAGCTATGTAGGGTTTTAAATGTAGGTAGATTATCAAAACACACATTTTAATTAAATCTGAATTTAAAATGTATTTATATAAAGACAATATATTTACATAATTTTTAGATGAAGAATCTCAAGAAAGTAGAAATCAAATGTATTTTTTATTTTTTTATTATTTTTTTTTTGTAACTAATGCTATTTTAACTTATTTTTTACTTATGTAAATTCAACTGAGAGTGGAGATTTGATTAAGTGTATCGTAAGCAACAAGGGAAGTAATTCTCATGTTTATTAATTTATCTCCCTTGAACTTCCAAACAACAATTTTAATTTTAGATGTAAAGTTCGAATAGAATGGATGATCGAGTTAATCGTGGATATGATTGGTATTCATTCAATCCTATGCTCGATTAATTAGTCCAATCGTTCGTTTATTTTTGGAGATTTTTTATTAGCCTCATGAAAATAGATTAAAGTTATATTCAAAATTAGACATATTGCTTCAATGGCAAATTTTAAACTGCTGCTGCTAATTCCTTATGTTTAAAATTCAAAAATATCAATTCTAATGAAACATTTATGTGCGATTTAAAATCAAAATTTGTTGTCTCAAATAGTTCATGTATTTATAGACAAGCCATAAGCTAGATGTCTCTACTATATGGCTTGTTTATACAAAAAAGGTTAGTTGTAAAGGGAAAATATTTTCTACTTCATAGCCAAATATTATGTTGACCAAAAAGTCAGTTTGGTTTATTACATAAAAATAAGATTTTTTTTTTTTTAATTTTCAACATTAATTTAATAGAAGAACATATTTGGAGTTTATTCTATTTTCTTCCAGTTTTCATACAAATTCATAATTATATCTGTTCAGAATTTTTATCTTTCTTAACAAAAGAACTCTGCTCTCTATATCCTTTGAAGTCCTCTAAGGTACAGAAACTTTGTTTTCAATATTAAAATTATAAATCGTAATCCAAAGGTGCACAATATCTGGTGAATAAGTGGAAAACCTGCCAGCCAAACTGTAACAAATTTTTCTTTTTTTTTTTTTTTTTTTTTTTTCTAAGAATGTTATTGAGTGTGAAAGAATATAAGAAATAGTATTAAGGAGAGAGATCAATAAAAGAATAGCAATTAAGAAGACACCAACTGACATTACATTTAAATTAAAATGGTTACTTTGGAAAATTTGCAGCCTTGTGTTATCCTGATGGAATATTACATCCTTAACTGGTTCCGGATGCTTCTTGTCAATTGTTACGTTTTAATTGGCCTTAATTGGAAGTACTACTTGTCCAAAACTGTCATTGGAAGGAATTTTGTCAAGTATACCCTTTCAGTCTAACCACAAACACAGCATCTCTCTTACTGAGTGAAGACCAGCTTTTGGTGAAGTTGCTTGTCCCTTTATTGCTTACATTTTATGTTATAAAAATTTCACTTTCCACCACCCATCACAATTTATTTCCCAAATAAACATTTTCATTACTTTTAAGCATCAGATTTTGCATGAAAATAAGGTCCAATAGATGCTTTTCATTTAATTGGAAGCTACCCATCAAAGCAACTAACATAACCAAACTGGTATAAATGATTTTCAACTTTTAAATTTTGAGCATGTTGGCAATTTTCCACATCATATAACGTTTATTATTCTCAAGTAATATCTTAATTTGATTGCAACTATCAACTTCAACCAATTTATTTGACCATGGAACATTGTTTAATGAGAAATTTCCAGCACAAATCTTTGCAAACAACCCTTAATATATCTGGTCATTCATGGTTCTTTCTCTATCAACTTTGTAAATTTTTGGTTTCAGTCACATTTTTATCTTTTCTTAAAATATAAAAAGCATAATGTTGTTTATTCTTTCCATATTCAATATTAGAATCAATAAACAAAAATATGCCAACTTTGACAAATGAAAAGAATGCATGAGGATATGAGATTTGTTGTGAAACCAAAACCAAAAGAAATCTTTTTTAATTATATTAGTTAAAATTAAATGCTTTTAATATTGTCTAATGACAAAACTAAATTAACTTTTTGGTCAGCTCAATAACTTTATAAACATTTATCAGTTCCTTATTTTACTTAAAGTCTACCATTTCTAAGCCAATTTTATTTTCTCCAATCCGCATACAGCTAATTACACATCAAATAACAAACATTAAAATATCCTGTCCAATAAAGCAGAACAAAATCTATTGTCAGTGCATAGTATTTATTTTTATCAATTAAAAAAAGTACAGGGTGACCCCCCCAAAAAAAATAGAACCCATAAATATTGTAATAAATCCTACAAAGATCCAGTTATTTTCAAGTCTTCAGTCTGCATATGATCATTCCTCAAAGTTTTAGTTAAATTGGTTGCTTTGCATAAAAGTCACATTCTTTCCAAAATATGCCCCAAATGGGCTCCGTGTGGTTGGAGGCAAATGTCGCACAAAATTGTCAATTTACTCGGGCACATTCCTCTTTGGGGATTTCCCTGATTTTTGCTGTGATTGCTGTCTTCAATTCACCAATCATTTGAGGGTTGTTCTGGTACACATTATCCTTGAGATACACCCACAAATAAAAGTCTGTGGGGTTCAAGTCTGGTGAGTACGGTGCCCACTCAACATCACACTTCCTGCTTATCAGTCTCTCCTGAAATCAATCTTTCAGCCAGGCTAGGGAGTCGTTTAGTGTGGGGGAAGGAGTGTCTTACTGGAACCACTGTTCATCTTGATCTATCCCTCTGTGTCATCAAGTGATGCCCAAAGCTTCCTCAGCACTGCTACATAGTACTCTGTATTCACTGTTTGAGGTCTCTCATTTTCATCTTCAAACTAATATGGGCTGAATAATGCCATGTTTAAAAATTGCAACTCATGCTGTGTACTTTGTTGCATGTAACAGCCTCTTTAACACATCCTCCGGTGTGGCTGTACCCCAATAAATATTGTTTTTGCTGTTTACATGTCCTGAAAGCAGAATCTGTGCTTTATCAGAGAACTAAACATGATCCAAGAAGTCTGGATTATCTTTGATTGTGTCGCAAAACCATTCACACATGGTTGCACGTTTTTCAATGTCTGTCTTTTTGCTTTATTTGGATGTTGTAAGGATATAAATGAAGATCTGATTTAAGAACACACCTCAGAAACTCCCTAAGAGATTCTCAGCTGTTGATTTCATTGTCAAAGTGATTTCTTTGGTCTCAACCTCACTGAGTCATGTACAGCATCAATGTTCCTTCCTCTTCTAGCACTCATCCTCAGAACAGAATAAGTGTCCTTCATACCTTTAGAGTTCAGATTTTGAACAGTCCCATACTCTCTGAACATTTGAAACCCAGTCAAAAATTTTGCCTTTTGATGGTGCATGGCAACACTGTATGATTTGTTGGTGAAATAGACCTCCATGTAAAATGTATTTTCCTTGGTTGACCAAGACATATTGGGGAAGATTATTGTTCCACTATTTCATGTACAAAGTTAACTTATATACCATGAAGAAGAAAAGAAAAAAATTAATATTAACAGTTTCATTCAAAAGTTTGTAGCTTTTATGGGGGGGGGGCATATGGAACTAGAACAGTCTACCCCAATGAGCGAAATAAAGAGTTCAGTTCAACATTCCAACCACCTGAAGAAGGCCGGAGCATACAACGGCTGAAACGTAATAAATCTGGCAACAAAAATGAAGTCAATAGTCCAAATAATATAGTCTACATAATACCTCATCTCAGAAATATAGACAAATACAGAATGCAAATTTTATTGCAGTTATATTTGGCTTTGTAATTTACCACTGAAGATCTTAGAAGAGATCAAAAGTATTTGGGTTAAAAAAAACTACAGCACTTTCCTTGATGAATTTTGTCTTAACATCAAAAAAGTGATTAGACAACTGGAAAGGATCAGTATAAGAATAAGTAGACATAAGATGTCTATATTAATCAATGAAAGATGTTTGAATGAAGATA